CTCAATGCTGATTGCGATCGCTGCCGGTTTGGCCATTTTGCCACGACTCCCCGACGTCGGGTCCCATGTTGATAATTCGAAATTTGTATTCCAATCTTCAAATTGTCTCCAAAATGGAATTGATTTTATGCAGATGAGCATGAAATTGTCTCAATGCGAGTTTTGCATGTTGGTGTAAATAAATGTAACGATGTCTGGGCACGGGGAAAAGGACAAGGACGTGATGAGTCCGGATTTTCTCCGGTTTTTCCGTTTGTCTTTTTTCTCTTTTGGTCTTTTTTTCGGCCATTTTGCCCATTTTGCAGAGTGCATGCCGCATCAAAGATGCGACGTTTACGAATTCGTAATTCACAGCAATTCAGCACGGTCTGCCGTTTCGATTCGGTTACCGCATACATATTTCCTCGAACCAAAATTTATTACTTAATTCTCGGGGACGGCAGATGCCACTGGCCGGAAAATCAAATCAAATAAAAGAAGGCAGCCGCAGTGAAAAGCTCATAAAATGCTCCAAGAAATCCACTTTAAATATTTGGCTAACCAAAAAGCCAGAATTGAAGCCCTTGCCCCCCATTCCGTAGCTCAAACAATGCGCTCGCTTGCATTTCATTTGAATTTACAACTGTATTCGGTATTTGAACGGGCAACGAAGTAACTCTGCCACGCCCCCTACTCCCCCGCATCGAACAAGGAAATGGAAATCATCATCATCAGCCATCAGGGTTATCGGCGCAGAGGAAGCCAATAAAATGCAAGCACGAGACAAATACAAATCGAATAAAAATGCTCGGCGAAAAGCTCGCTCTGGAAATTCAAAACTGAGTAGCGAAAAAAATGTGGAAAAAACTGTGCGCAGTCAATAGCCCGATATGTAAACATGGCCAACAAAAATATTTCAATATTTCAAACACGCAACTCAATGTCGATGATGATGCCAATGCTGGATGAGATGCGATGAGCTCGCATAGTAAACTTGGCCAAAAGGAAATTGAAGGACAACCGCAATTCATTGATTTAGTGCCAGGGATTTTGACTTGGCTCCAGCATATATATGTATATACGTATATTCTCCATTCTATATTCTCCCTTGTGGTTGTACGCGATGTTATCGCTTTTCATTTGTTTGCACTGCTGAGTAATTTGTGTTTGCCATTGCTGTTGATGTGTTTAGCATGTCCTACCACCCCGATCCCGATTACCCGATCCCCCGATTCCCCGATTCCCCGATTTGTAAATTATATGTCTGCCAAGTGTGCCGATGGGGTGCAGATAGCGCTCTTAAAGTGGCCAGGAAATTGCAAATTGCTGGTTAAATTGCGTAGCCAAGTTACGCCCTAATAAATATGTTACTGGTCGATTTCTTGGCCATTCTGGCTTTCCTTATGTCTATATTTGAATCGGCGATAAAGGGAAACCAATGGCCATATTGTAGGCCACACGCAAGGATGGGTTGATCTTGACCACTTTACTGTTTTGGTTTCTCACAGCTACATGATTCATGCTGAAATCGGACACATATTTTGCTTGGCCAGGAAAAAGCCCACTCAAACACAAGAGCTATATCTCTCGCAGTTATCAATGGCTTTGGCTTACGTTTCCCATTTTGACTATCGTGGTGCACAAAAATCCCATGCATAAGTTTATTTCGCCCGGCCAACTTCGAATCGTCTATAAATCATGTAAGCAATTTTAATTCAAATACAAAAGAATTTCCAACACATGGCTGGGGCTGAAATGGGAGCTGCATTGTTGGCATAAACCAATTGCAAAGGCCAAAATAGCGAGGACTCCACAACTAATGCGCTCAGCGCGCACCGCAAACATTCCTGTTCCTCCGTCCTTCGTCCCCTATACCCCCAAAACCCAAAAAACACATAGATCGGGCCAAGAGCTACTCGACTCCCGGGCCAAAGGCTTTGGGAATAAAGCCAAAAAAATATGCAGTATAAATAACCACATTTGTATAAGTGCGTTTGCGTGTGTGCGTGTATGTGAAATATTTTGTTTAACGTTTATAGTTTTATGCACTTAAGATAGCAAAATATTTTCATTCTCTTCTGGTTAAATTTATTTTCGAGTATCAGGCACTGAGCTTAAGCCAGAAGCAAAACTTCTGCCAATATTTGTAAAAAATATATTGATTGGCCTGAGTCGTGGGCAAAGGGGGAAATAAAGAGGAGGAAACAGCTTATACACATGCATGTGCACACAGATTCTACTTATGCATTTATCCTTTCCTTAAGAGTTTTTCAAATTTTCCCCTTGACTTATTGCTACGCTTTTTTATGGCAGTACTTCTCTGTTTGAATTACTTTATATTTAAATAGGGGAATTTGAAATAGGAATAAAATAATTACGTTTATATAATATCATTAAAGTAACTCAAATTTTTTTTGTAATGCTAACAAAATTTAGTTAATACACATAAATATCCAATTTAAAACTTATAAGAAAACCTTTTTAAAAAATAACAAGACATTTATTAAATCCCTCATAAATATATTGAATGTCTCTTGATTTAAATTTATAACACAAATCAACTACAAATTTTTTGGAAATCTAATAAAATTATATTTAAAGAGTATTTAAAAGTCAGCTTCGAAAACCAAAGTTATGCGGTTGTCTTTTGCATCTTCCGAGCTCCTCACACTTTTCACATCGACTTCGTCGCTCAATTCTTTGGACAAACATTGGGCACAGCTGCCGCCACGCCCCCAAGCCCTATACGTTCCGCCCCCTGGCTGCAGCCGTTGCCTGAAATTTTCCAAGCTTTTCGTGCATGATAACAACTGTGTGGCAATGCAGTTCGAGGGCCATCGATGCTCCTCCACGGAAATCTCTTGGCTTGGGGCACAAAGGTTGTGTTTGTTTTCTGTTAAATGTTCAAATATATTATTGCAGCCCCGGAGATGTGGGTGTGGAGCGAAGAAGAGCACTTGCAGACATTTTCGAGCTCGTATTTACATGCAAGCAGAAAATTGTACACCTCCTCCACTGCCCTGCTGTGTTGCGTCTGCATGTTAAAATATTCAAACAAAAACGTTATGAAAATATGAACTGTGATGTTTATCGATTGTGAAATATGATATACTCTGGGGAGATGGTTGGGGCGGTCTCAAAGGGTGTTCACACACACTGTCCTGGCCTTTAATTTGTTAGCACAATCCTTCCCAATGGCAGTTAGTCTCGCTGACAGGCGGCCAGGATGTGTGTTCTTATGCACAGGCAAAAAATTTCATTGATTCGACAAATTGATGAAACAAATTAATATGGTTAAGAAAAAATAAAATGAATTTAACAACAAATTATACTGGATTATCTAGTACCTTTAAAGGAGAACAATTTTGATTTTTAACCACTCTTTTTGGCTTTATTTCTTTTTATCATTTTATTTTACTAAGGTGTACTTATATACCCTGTTGGTGTTTGTTCTGGCGTTTGTTGGTGCCGGGCATGCCGTGTTTGAGTGTTTGTTTGCGTGCCAGCCAGAAAACCTTTCGCCTGACCAGACCAGACGAATTTCGGCCCCGAGCAATTGCAGACGAGAATTCCTCTGGTAGCTAATAAATATTAAACTTTAATTAAATATGTTTTTTGTTCGATATTTATGTGTGCATCGACTGAATATCTCGATGGCAATCGCATTGCAATTTCGCTTCTGGCCAGCCCAGCAATAAATTTTCAACCTTGAAGCGCCAACGAAGCCAAAGCGCCAAAGGCCATTAAAATACGTTTCTTTTTTTCGCCGGCCACTTAACATTGGTGGACAAGGGAAAGGGGGGAATACGGGGCTAAACTAAAACTCATATTAAAAATTGACTTTTATCGTGATTTACAATCAAGTTGGCCTTTTTTAAATGCCGTGGTCGACATGCGGGTTTTGCCTTCCTGGCTCCAAGTGCACTTTGAAAAAAATGACACTACAAAGAAAATAAAGTACCAGCAGTATCAAAATTGTTTCTTTTTAATTTAGCAGAAGTTTTCTAAAGTAGTATTCTTGTTATTGACAATTTACTATCTGACAACAAAAGCGGCCAAAATAATTGCTTTGTTCTCTTCAACTATAACTATTTTAATCAAATATTAACATTTTGGAATTTCTAAAAATATGAAAAATAATTGGGTGAAAATAAGGATTAAAGTATTTAAGTCCAAAGGGTTCTTTAAAATGCCTGAAGAATTCCGAAAAGTACCTTTGATAGACTAAACTAAAAAACAATGTTTTTTTTTACAAATTTTAGTTTTCAAAGCGTTTTCTGAATATTCTTTTTAAGAGAGTGTGCTCAATTTTTCTTGGAGTGGCCTAAACTGGTTGCCTAGTAGCTCCGCCAGCTTGTTGTTGCTGTTGCGGTTGGGCCACACACTCTCACACACACACACACGCACTCGTGGTAGGCGGACTAGAGGGGAGGGGGCTAGATATTTCTTCGTGGCTTAGATTGGAAGGGCCAACATATTTAAGCCGAATGCTAACGCCCGATTCTCGAGCAGCGTCCACGACATAGCACGACACGTGGTTTGGTGGTTTGGCAGGGATATGGGCAAGAGCTTTGGATTGGGAATGGGAATGGGATCGAGAATGGAGGCCGTGGCAAATCCGCTTTCGCCACGCCCACCGATACACCCTCGAAGGCGGTGGCCTGCACTCCATATCTCTGCACTTCCATTACGAAATCCCTTTCCCGTGAATGGTTTTGGCTTTTCCTGCGCAACGCTTCATATTTCTTCACACGTAATTTCGTTGGATTTCCAATGTCGACATCGACTTTGCCTCCTGACTTTTACTTGGCTAAAGGTTGGCTTTTAATTTACTGAAGGGCTCTGCCATCCTCCGAGGAGTTTTTATCCCTTTGTTCGGGTCAGAGGTGTATAATTATGAAACAGATAACTCCAAGTTACCCAAACAAATTACATAAAGCTACATTTTAATTGTTTCTCCTTGCGTCGAAGAAAGTTTTCAACTCCAGATTAAACATTTTTATTTTCTCCCTCTTTTGCAGAGACTGCAGAGTTGTGCGTGATCCGCAGACGTTGAAATCAAAGGGCTATGGCTTTGTCAGCTTTGTCAAGAAATCGGTAAGCTATGCCAGCAAATTTGCAACATCAAAGGCTTCCTTCGCATTAGTCGCTACACAAGTTTAATTTTCTAAGTAAGCACACACACACACACACAAAGCACCTGCTCATATCCTTTCGGTTTTCGGGAAGTTGTCATATGAAATCTTAATTAAAACAAGTGAAAACTATAGCTGGAATCTCGGCGGTTGAAGTCCCAGCAACTTAACATATCAAAAGACACCTGTGGCTTTCCCCACCCTTCCCTAACCCCACACACACACACACACACATGTATCCCCTTCGTTTCCTTAAGATACACATAAGCCAAAGAAAAGCCAAACGAAGCGCACACATTTTTAAGATTTAATGCATTCTGCTTTTCCTTTTCTCGGTTAACTGCCAAGGGGCGAGTATTTGATTTTATTCTCTTCCTCATGGACACACTCGTATATCAAAAGCGTGCGCCTCACGAATCTGTAATGTTTTTTTATGGCCACAGATGCAGCGAATCTCACGGGTTCCCGAGGCTGAAAAAAGAAGAAAACCAAAAAACCACCCTTGTGCTACTGTAAACATTTACACATCATATTCAATATGTTTAAACCGCAACTGATAAGGGTCCAAATAACTGCTGGCAGGACTCTATATCCCTGTGTGTGTGTTCTGATTGAATTTCATGTGCCTAATAGGTAGAAAATTCGACACAGAGCCATAGAAACCGGGAGAATGGGACTTTTACTAGGTTTATGGGAGGTCCTTATGGCAAAACCATTTCATGAAAAGCTTCTCTGATTTAGGACAAGAGGTTAAAAATAAAGCAGCTCTTAAAATTCATCTTTAAAATATTTATCTTCCTTGATATTTAGTCCCTTCTTTTTTAACCAACTATTTACGTTCCCATTCTAATTATATTACTAAATGTTTTATATATTTTATAGCAAATTCTAGAGAAACGCGTTGACTTTCTTTTGAAATTCATAAAATTTACGGCATAAACACGACTTAAACCATCAAAGTAAGCCAAACGAATTGCGTGTCAGCCAGTGGAGCTCAAAAAATGCGCATGCTTAAGGCTTAGAACTCGAAATCACACAGACACAAACTTTAAGAAAAGCCAAATCAGATGCCGGAGAAGGCGTAAAAGCCAAAGGTGCTGCTAGTCAATTAGGCGGCAAATGATCAAAATTATTAATTAAATTTGAATGCTAATACCCTGAAGTGTGCGCCAGACATGGCCCAATAATTTGGCAGGCAAGCCAATGATTTGTTTGACATCGAGGAGATGAGCGCGGATTTGCGTGGAAATGTGTCGTGTGCAAATACAACCTAATCTCTGACACTTGCCTGCTGCCACGCCCCCTTTCACGCTCTGCCCAGCTGTCAACTATAAGTATATACACATACATATATTTAAGCCAAAGTCGAAGTTTGCGTTGCGAAGCCTTTTGGCAACTGACTTGTTTTAGTTTGAATTATGGCCAATGCGGCGTATACTTAATGCTTTTCCCGAGCTAACTAGTTAACTTTTTGTGCTGCAACTGGGGAATGGGATGCCAATTTTCGAACTTTCTCGATTAGTTTCGATGCAAACGAAAAGAGGAAGAAGTGCAAACACACAAATGCACACACACACACACTCGCTCACACTTCCACTCACAGACCAAATAGCAAACTCAAATATTTCAAATTAAGTTTCTCGACATGCGTTTTGTACACAGTCGGTACGCCCTAAGCTGCCACGCCCCCTTGTCCCTGAACCGGCGTCGTCGCTTGCAGCTGATTTAATGCAAATTTTATTTATGCGAAAAGTTTTATTAAATTTTTGTGCAAAGTTGATATTTTCTGTGGTTTTGCGGAAATTGAAAAGTTATTTTTCGAATGGCTTACTGCACTCACACTCACTGAATACTCATGTGTGCAGTGGCAACTGCCAGCGGAAAAGGAAGAAACAGTTTTCTTTCATTCAGCACTTCCGTTTGCCGGCGCATGAAATTTTGCCAATCGCCAGGGCCTTGCATAAAGCCAATGCCGAAATGCCAGATCTGCTCAAGCATCTCGGGCAATATTTAACGCAAATTGTTTGGCAACATGTTTTAAATAAACACCAGAACATTCTCCGCTCGCTAGCTCCCGTTTTTTGATTTTTTTTCTCTCCTGTGCGACGCATACAAATTGCCATAATTTAATAACCATCAAGGCAAGCTGAGCATTTGCATGGGATGTCGGGAAGACGATGCCTGTCTGCGTGTCATTAGCATCATAAATCACAACAACAACGCCGGCAAGTACGAAAAAATTTACGCAAACATTAAACGCAATAAACATGTCGATGCCAGGCGAGAATACACAGAAAACAATAATCATACAGCATCACCTCATTTCAGGAATCTTTTTTTAATTTTCTTTAGTATTTATTTATTGCATTTTAATATCCAATTGAATTTACCAACACAATATTTCTTGTAAAAGAATTGTGTAATTCACAGCGATGTGTTTTTTATTACTTATTTTATTTCCATTATTATATTTTTTTATTTTGTATATTTAAAATACATTTAAGTACTTAAAAGTGCATAATTTTCGACTAAGAGGAAAGTATCCGTTTATATATGAATTTAAGATTTTTCTTTCAATGCGCGAGTACTTTCCGCTTCTTCAGTCCCAACCAAAATGCTAATGTGTGCCGCCATCGTCGACGGCTTCTGTTATTGTCACACAGCCGAGGCATATTAACATATTATTGCATACTCATACGGCAAAAAAAAAGATCAGGAGATTCTGCTAAGGGAAAAATCACCGCCTGCTGCATCTTGAGTGGCTTTTCTTTTTGACACAAAACTGATTTGCCAACGCTATAGCGAAAAGGGAAGGCTCAGAGAACAAGATGCATTTAATCGCATTACTCCCCCTGTCTTCACTTCGCCTTTTTCAGGACAGATTTTTCGTTGTACAATGCACTTAAATTTATTTAAGAGTTGCCGCAACACAAGGAAGGCAACAAAAAAAAAATGTGCAGGACGAGAACGCAAACGAATTGACAATGTGTGCAGCGAACAAGATATAATGTCGACTTCCCGGCCACGCCCCCTCATTCTTTTCATCATCTTCTTGTGCAGTTCATTGTTGCATTATTATCATTTGTTCTTATTGTTGTCGCGCACAGAATGCCTGTGGTTAACCTCGCACCACCCAGCCACCCAACCTCCCAACCACCCAACCACCCATTTGAATGCCAGTTGTGATGTTTCTTTTATGATTTCGCTGCGTGTTGCTCCTGCTGGCTGTCTTGTCATGTGCATGTGCACTTAAATTAAAAAGCATTCCGCGTACATTACCCTTAATTTGCGATACGTGGCGTCTTGCCAGCGCCGCGAAATTTCTAGGAAGTATCATCGGCATCTAGTAGATTGATTAACCTTTTTAGTTTATTTTTGGTAATTAATTGTACCTAATTTGAATGTCTTATATTTTTATCCTCCTTTGTAGTTAAAGACATTCTTAGTAAATATTATTGGCCTGACTTGACTTTTATAAATATGTAATGAATAGTTTTAATCCAAAAGCAAAGCTAAAAGTAGCCCTCTTAATTAGTGTAAACAATTTAAAAGCAAAAATAAATCAATCAAAACTTAATTGACCCTAGTCTGTGGCAAAACATATGCAAAAATCAGAGCTAATTGATCAAACAGATTTCCTGGCCTTTTCTAAATTTTCTTAATTTATTTCTCTCCAATTCTGGCTGGCCTTTAAAGTTTCCTACCCAGCCTTAGTGCTTTTCAATTTATTTAATTTCAAGCGAGGCAATAAATCTGCTGAAGCGTACCAAACTCGGTTATAAATATAAATGGCCTGGACATTCATTTTATGCTTTCCATAATAATTCAGGAACTAGTGATTTGAGGGCGATGTAGGGACACCACGGACTACAAACTGCCTACACACGCATAAGCTCGCAGCTCGGAGGCAGTAACTATAAAAAATGGGAAAATATTGTGGGAAGGGGGAGGGGGAATGGGAAACAACGGACAGAGCTGACATACATAAATAAATCCCATGGAATTATGCCTTGACAAAAATGCGTTCTAGCGTGAAATACTGATTTTTTGGTCAACAACTTCCCCAACAACCCAAACTCAAGCCCAAACGTTGATGTGTGTGGTCAAAAATCGAAAAGCGTTTTGGGCCTAAGCGGAATGAAAACAGTTTTTACCGATGACTGGGCCAGACAGATTCAAAGATGACTGGGCCTTATCTGCTCCATTCGCCGTCCACATCATCATCATCATCATGCTGGAGGCCATCATTATCTTGCGAGAAGTCGGCAAATGGAAGAGCATTTCCACTGAGCAAACGATTTGCCACTTGAGTTATTTTATAAATATCAAAAAATCATCATCGGAACTGCGAGCTGGGGTAGTTTTATCTGGACAGCTTTAATATTCAACTTGGGGTTGGTTTTGTTACTTTCACGCTTATCTAAATAGCCACGTTAATGAATCTGACCAAAGAACAAAGCTAAACCGGCTTAGGAGTTGCGATGGCAAAACCTTTTAGCTCAAAAAAAATAAAAGGAGAAAGGCCACGGCACTAAATACTGGACGTCTGCTACCTTTTTAAGACAAAACGGTCGCCGAAAGAAAAGCCAGAACAGAACCTTCTTATTTTCCCAGAAAGTGTCCATGTGTCGGGGTGTCTATGTGCAGTCGGGGATTATCCCCTTTTTGTGTGCGTTTAGCTTGCCTTTTTTCACCTTCTTTCGCTACAGTTTTTCCTTTTCCTTTTCCGCCTGGCCCTTTTCCGTTTTTGGCACAAACCATTTCCTTATTGTTTTAATAAACATTTAAAATGTCTTGCTCTCGGCTTACGGTGTTTTGTGTACACACGAAACGTCAGCCGCAACCAGCGTTGGCCCCCATTTTGTGGCCATAAGATAAAGGGGTCGATCCCGGCGAGATCCACATGAAAAGTATGACAAAACCCTTTTAAACCACTTAAAAATTCTTCAACTTACTTTTGCTTTTCTTCATTCGCTTAATGAAGGTATTTCGCCTTTTTGGTCTTGTTTCCCCCCACCCGCCAAAAACTTTGGTAAGCCCGCCTCATTTCCGTTGTTAGCCATGGTCCGCAGCATTAAAGGATTCTGCGCCTTATCAAGTAATCAATATTTACAAAAGGCCCAGCCCCATCCGCACTCTTGGTTTCGGTCTCAGTTGACTTTACACAAGTTTCGCTGCAAATTGAATCTGTACGCAACGAAAAATGTTCTTAAATTTGAGTGTCGCGCGGAGGAAAAGTTTTCCACCAGCCATGTCCATGAAAATTAATTAACTTATCTCGAAAGCGGAAGTTGTCATTTAGGAAATTTTCCAGCGACATGAAAAAACTTCGACACAAGCCTGAACTTTTAATCAAAGGGGAATTCATTTGTGAACTGGGACAGATAGTGGAACTAGTACCGGGAAAAAATTACATCAACAAACTAATATATAAAAATTTAATTGTTGTTTAATTAGAACATATTTGATTTGAAAAGTTATAAGCTTTACTATCATTTCATCTTTCTATAACATAATCAAGTTTACTCCAGGTATGTTTTTCTTTCGGTGCAAGCCATGTTGGTTGTCACAGCGACAGACCGGAAAAACGATTCAAGTTTTCCTCCTATTAGCTGCAAATTTGCCATTCACCATTAATTAATTTCGCCCAGCCGAAACAACAGCCAAAGCCGCACACAAAGAAAATGTGTCGCTCCAACTGCCAATGATTCGAATGGGCCGAAAACCCAGAAACCCCAGTTTCCATTGTCATCTGTCTCCAACTTGACCCAATGCCGTAGATTTGCAATTAGCCCAGACGTTCTTGCCAACAACAGTTTTGGTTTCGATTTCGGTTTTGGGCCAGGGCTTTCATAAATAGTTCGACAAGTCGTAGTGGGTGCCATATTGCGGTCGTCGAGCTTCCACTTGAGCAAGATGAATTGCTAAATTACTCGAGAGACTCTTGAGCCCCGAAATTGTGTTATAATCAACTCATTAGGGGGGCTTGGAGATTTCCGAATTGAAATGGATTAACTCCGAGGAGAAAATTCAGACATTTGCACCTTTTAAGTGAAGGTAAAGGAAGTATTAAAACAGTAACTAGTTTGGGCTAAGAGAAAAAATACTTTATATTCTTATTCTAATACTAAAGTATTTAAATTGGACTTCTAGAGTCCATAACTTAACCAAATTTAATCCGATTTCAAAGTGGCATACCTCTTACGACTCGTAGTTTGATTCTCTAAAAATCTGCTTTCAAAATTTTCATTTTAACGTTCATCAAAATTTTGACCCATTTTCATGTTGATTTTTTATAAGTTTCCGATGACTTGTAATGAGGTAACCTCCAATTGGACTTCTAGAGTCCATAACTTTACCAAATTTAATCCGATTTCAAAGGTGCATACCTCTTTCGACTCGTGGTTTCATTCTCTAAAAATCTGCATTCAAAATTTTCATTTTAACGTTGATCAAATTTTTGACCTATTTTCATGTTGATTTTTTATAAGTTTCCGATGACTTGTAATGAGGTTACCCCCAATTGCACTTCCAGAGTCTATAACTTTGCCAAATTTAATCCGATTTCAAAGCGGCACACCTTTCACGACTCGTAGTTTGATTCTCTAAAAGTATTCAAAATTTTCATTTTAACATTGATATGTTACCCATTTTAATGTTAGTTATTTTTAAGTTTCCGATGACATGTGACCAAATTTTTGGCAATTTCAAAGTGGATTACCTCTTAAGACTTGTGTTGAGAAAAGGAGATATCTAGTTGCAATAAAAATATAAGCTTTTCATAATATTGTCGTCGAATTTCGTTTTTTTTATCATTAATCGGATATTTATTTCAATATCTTAATTCTACAATTTTTTATTAGTAAACAATATTTACTTCCATTTGGTCTACTACCCAATTTTATTTTTCATTTTTCTGTTAGTTTTCCTTCGCTTTTCACAAACACCACTTCCTGTTTTCTAAGCAATTTACCACCAAAATGATTGATAAAGTTTGCCAGCTTCAAAGACTTGTCAAAGCTTGGGAAAGCTGAAAAAACTCAACCGAAAATGTCCGTTGCAGTCGGGACAAGTTTTTGTGTGGCCGTGTCTGGGCCTGGACATTGCATTAGCCGTGGCCAAAGTTGCACTAACAACCTCTGTCTCGGACTCCTTCCTCTAATCCTCACACAATCATGGCCAGAACAGGGCGTTTGTTAAGACAATTTTCATTGACACATGCGATTGCAATTGGAATTGGCAAAGAAGGCGGCAATTGCAACTGCACTTGAAGTGACTGTCCTTTGATAAGTCCTGAATGATGTTTCCCGCAGCGAAGAGCCAGCAGCAGGGAAAAATGCCAGGCTTAAAGCTGCCATAAAGTAAATGGTGAAATATTTAAAAAACATTTCATGCCCGGTGGGAAATCGCAGGACGAGGAGTGACTGCGGTATGGTTGTTTGCAGGACTTGTTCTTGTTGTGGTTGCCATTGTTGTTGCTGTACGGGGACGTGAGTGTATATGTAATCAACGATGCGTATCGCTTAAAAAATGTAAAATTTATAGTTTATGCAAATATGAAAAATGCAACTGGCAATGCATAAAAATGCGCACGCACGCAAACTGAGCGACGTTGCCCGGGAACAAACGCACACTTGCACACACATCCTGCAAACACACACCGCACACACACTCACACACACACACATGCAGACATTAAATTACGGCCAAAGTTGGGCGACAGTTGCGTGGTTTATCGCTGACGGGGCCGGCACTCAATTGTTGACTTTTGCTCAAGTGGTTAAATTAAGGGCCCAAGAAAACCAATACACAGCAATTTATGTTGAAGGCATTTAAGCCCCATGTAAATGCCATTTAACATTCGACGAGTTTTAATGCGAAATTCCCTTTAATGATCATTTTCTTCGCAAGAAGTCACCAGAAAATGGTTGAATTATGGGCATTTATGGGATGTCCTTACTTACAGTCCACGAAATCAATGGTTTAAACTTAAAGTTTCGCCTTAAAGCCGATTTTTTGGAACACATTTGGAAACCAACTAGAATATCCTTAAAAGCTTTATAATATAGTCCTTTAAAGATGAAGGAATAATGGTTGGCGTGTTAAATCAAAATGTTCTTTTTAACTTAAGAACTCATATTCATGATAGCCTTTCATGGATTATTTTTTTGTCTTGGGATTTCATGCAATATTTCTATTTTATTTGGAATTCAATTCGACTTCTTTATGCTCCTTTAAAACACATCTGCTTTTTCAGTAGCGCCGATACCAAAGATCGAAAATGTTGCCAATGGGGATAAACTTTAACTGCGCTTGGCAATTGGCAATTACAGACTCTCTCGTATGAGATCTGCTCTTGAAAACCCTCTAAAGTTTTCCCCTTCAAAAGTTCAGGTCTACTTTCGGTTTGAAAACGTCGTTTTTCAGCCGGTGCACGTCAACGCTGATTTCGAGCGTTGCACGTAGCCGCCACAAAGAGTGGGAAAATTAATGGAAAAAAAGAAAGACGGAGCACCGAGGGCAGGGCGGCCAAGGTGGGGGAGGGGGTGGTCTGTTGTAGGTGCCTAGTTACAGTTGCTGCCAGCCGCAGTCGTATCCGGATGCGGATGCGGATGCGGATTCGACTCTGCCGCCATTTAAAGAACGTGCAATGAGCAGCTGCAGCGTCTGCAGCGCCGCAAATGCCATTATTGCATTGCATTGCTTTAGCTGCCTCGGTCTTTTGGTGTGCCGCAAGTAAATTGCTATGAAACGCCCACCACACACACACACACACATTCACCCGGGCTCACACACATATACTTTCCCTCTGACACACACACACACATAGAAAGCTGACTGCATGCAAGACCTTCTGGCAGTTGCAATCATTTCGGCATGAATCACGTTTGATACGCACGAATTACCTTTTATGCGAAATTGAAATTATAATTTGTGCACGGCCTTGTAAATGCTACGTATAGTACCACCCCATTTGCCCGCCCACCTCCCTCCTTCTTTACTTTACTTCACTGTACACACACAGCCAAAGAAATCAAAGAGCAGCAGCAACAATGTCGCCTGCTAACCACAAGGAGCAACTTTCCAGCCAACGCGATTGTGTTTTCTTGTCTTCTTTCTTTTTTCGTAGCCGCACTCAAAGAAATCATAGAAATTTGTATAAATTAATCGTTTTGAATTTTTATTTGAATGGTGTCTTATATACTTTCAATGGCAATCTCTTTAAGTATTTAAATAATAATGTGAGCTAAAATTTAACTGCGAAAAATAAGTACCTAAAATTCGAAATCCATATTATGGTTTTACAAACAATTAGCAAAGCGAAGTGAAGTAAACTAAAAATAAAACAAAACAAAGCATACAATTTTTTTAATTTCATGATTTTGGACTGCTAATAATTTAAGGCTAATTGTGTTGATATTGTCCTGAGTGTGGCTTTACTTTGGTTGCTTTTCCCTAACACTTTCCAAGCTGTTTGTATATAAATTTGGGTTGGCCTCGCTAAAAAAGCAGCCAAGGTCTTAGCAGCCGCTGTAAGCGGCTTAAGCGGCTAGACAAACCCGCGTAAATGGGATGGGCTTTTAGCTAATTGCGCTCTCCATTTAATTTGGCTCGTTGCAGGAGGCGGAAACCGCCATCACTGCAATGAATGGCCAATGGCTGGGTTCGCGCTCGATACGCACAAATTGGGCCACACGAAAGCCGCCGGCAACCAAGGCAGACAGTGAGTATCCCCCTGGACCATACCAATCCATCCCAGCATCCCGCATCTCATTGTCATATCCGCTCGTTGCAGTGAACGCCAAGCCGCTGACCTTTGACGAGGTCTACAATCAGAGCAGCCCCACCAATTGCACTGTCTACTGTGGCGGCATCAACGGAGCCCTGTCCGGCTTCCTCAACGAGGAGATACTGCAGAAGACCTTCTCGCCCTACGGCACAATACAGGAGATACGGGTCTTTAAGGACAAAGGATATGCATTTGTGCGGTAAGTGAAATTGGGAACTTCATGGTAAATAAAACAGCTTAAAAGCCAAGTCAACACAAGCTGCTCGGTAATAAGACGTATTTGCTAGACTACTGTGCGTATGAGTAATTTTTAGCATATATTATTACTTATACGTACTGTTGCCTGAAATGGCTTGGGTGTAAATCACTTATACGTACTGTTGCGATTACTGAAATTCTTGATAACATCTTGTACAACTTAAGGTTGGCTTTTATTTACATAAGAACGTATACTAGTTTTACTATTGTTAATAAAACATATTTTCTGGACCCCTGTGCGTATGAGTGATTTTGACCATATATATGTTACTCATACGTACTGTTGCCTGAATTGACTTAAATATAAATCTCTCTAACGAAATACCTCAAATGATCTTGTTAAAGTTAAGGTTGTCTTGTGTTTACACTAAGAACGTAAACTAGTTAAAATATTGTTAATAAAACATTTTTCTGGACCCCTGTGCGTATGAGTGATTTTAACCATATATATATTACTTATACGTACTGTTGCCTGCATTGACTGAAATGTAAATCACTCATACGTACTGTTGCGATTGCTGAAATACCTCAAAGCATCTTGTACAACTTAAGGTTGTCTTTTATTAACACTAAGAACGTATACTTGTTTTATTATAAGAATGTCGGACAAAAATATTTGTAATGCATAAACAGATGCTATTTTGATTCCACGTGTTCAAGAATTCATGAAATTCATAGCATAAACATAGTAATAGAGCAATCAATGGACAAACTACCGCTGCCGCTCCTTCCCCTTTCTTTTTATGCCCTCAAAAGTGTGCTACATTAACCCGTTGTTGCCCGCCATTTTGATTTGGCGCCTGTGTGAGTGTGCGTATCCGTGTGCTGCGGTCTGCGGTGTCAGCGTCATCGCAGTATTCCCATTGTCGTTGTCGCCGAGTGCACACACGCCACATCAATGTGTGCGGCCCCCATCCGAAACCGCCCGCCGTTAATAAATCAACAACACTTTTACACAAGACAACAAAAAACAAGAGCAGCAGCAGCAACAACAGCGAGAGGCAAATTTGAAGTAACAAACAGAACAATGAACCGCAATAACAGCGACAACGATGGTACGACAGTACGGCAAAGAGCAGAAACCCAAACAAAAAAAATGCTACGAGCCCGCAAAAAACCCTACCTAGGAGTCGGTGGTGCTGGAGGTGGTGCAGTGCACTATGGGGTTTTTGACCACTTTATGTGGCATTTAGTCATTTTTTAAAAGTGCTCTAATTAAAAAAAAAAAAATGGGAATGCATTAACAGAACATCAAACTGTTATGCCTCATACTCAAAATGTTAATACTTAACAGCATATGTTAGCATAACAGCTGTAAAGTCAGCTGTTGCATGCGAAAGTACCAGCGCTAAGTTTGCAATTTTTTCAAGGCGTTCTTTGAAATTAATTTATTCGTGTAAAACACCATTTGAAAAGAAAAAAACAAATGTAAACTGATCTCACAGGCTTGTACTATATGTTAAATGTATTAATTTTTTTAATTATGCGTGTTTATACTAATATTTTGTCACTTTATAAATGCACCTTAAGCTGAATTTTGAGGAACAAATTCCAACTTTGGGAAGAGTTTTAAAATAGAAGTTTGCATTAGTTTTCAATGCGTCCAAGTGTATGTTGTAGCCTTGTCAATTCTGAGCAAAAATATGTTAGTCTTATTGTGCACTTTTCCGCACTATTGGTGCAATTTGAATTTTTCTTAGATAACCTCACTTTCTCCAACGCCGACTTGGTTGCTGTTTGGAATAGCGGAAAGGGCCGGCTTGAGCAAGAAAAGGCTATACAATGTTTGATGAACAAATTATTTATAATATGAGGATCATTTTTAAATGTTTGTCCTGTCAGTTGCCCGTTAATTTGGACAAATTCGAATCATTTTGCCGACAAACTGGCGAATTGTTAGTCGATATGTATCCGTGGCTGCCGATGAGTTTTGAGTTTGACGAATTTTTTTCTTTTTGCTTTTGTTGCACTTATTATCATCATCTTTTATAGGCATGGACCAACAAATTTCAGCTCTTTAAATTTCATTAATTTTTTTTTAGTTTTAACCGATCGTTCCTATGGGAGCTATAGGATATTGTTTCCTGATCCAAACGATTTTCACACTATATGTGCCTAGGGACAAATAATGACGATTGGTAAAGTTTCATGTCGACATCTCCAAAACTGACCGAGTTATTAATTAATGCCACAAAAACAGGTCAAAAACCCCATAGTGCAGTGGTGCTGGTGGTGGTGCTGGCGGTGTTGGCGGTGGAGATCGCAGCTGCCGTCACGAATGCTGATAGGGTTTTAATGGCAGCCGTTGGCCCACGACGGACTGAGTTCACCCCACCGAAACCAAAAGGGTATATCCGGATAGAATTCATGCACCTAAAAAAAATTATTGGTTTTCTAAATATACTTAAACATATTACAAATATATATTTTTAAATTATAAAATGCCTGAAAATCCATTTTATTATTTTAAAAGTAAACAATAAAAACGATCGCAAATACCAGTTAAATTTATTTAGAACTCCTGACTCTAAGACTAAGCAAAATCTATCTTCCAGATTAATAAAATAGACATTTCCTTATTTTTTATATATTAGCTTTTTTTAATTATGCCAAATGCTTTTCAAAATTATTTTTAAGTGCAGCAATGAAGTGTGATGAGGGCGAATAGCGGGCAACAAACGCATTGCAGTTGCTGGCCATGTCCATGGGCGCCTTTTGTGCACTGCTCCAAAACTCATTTGTGTGTTGCAAACGTGATGCTAAAAAAAAAGGCGGAGGGGAAAAGAAAGCCAGGGAGAAAGTGAGTGAAAGGGGCCGAGGCGAAGCGGAGGCATTGTTTGGCATTTTGTAACATAATGAGCTCGGGGACTACAAGTGCAGCAGCAGCTGTGGCAGAGTTGCTGCATCATTATAACCAATCCGGCAACAACGAAACAATTCCACAGACGCTTGTACCACTTTTGCGCTTTGTTGCCGCAGCGGGTTAAGCGGAAATTAAACCAGGCCAATCTGCTCACTGCTAAAAAAAATACGGAAAAAAAAACCCAATAAAAACATTTATTTTGGAATACAAAAAAAATGAAAACCATTACTAAAACGAATCAATATTTTTACAAAATAAATTTTAAGAACACAAGTGACTAAAATTTGTAATTCTTAAGTTTATTCAGACTAAGATTGAAAATTGAGGGAATTCATTTTAAGTGAATACATTGTTTTGCTTTATTAAGAACTAAGCCACTCATTGCAGCATATCGAATATAAAAGGGTACCTAATTGAAGTTTAATTTCGCATATCCTTTTTCTCTGTACCCAAACAGCTTCTCCACCAAGGAGGCGGCCACCCACGCCATCGTGGCCGTCAACAACACGGAGATCAACCAGCAGCCGGTGAAGTGTGCGTGGGGCAAGGAGAGTGGTGACCCCAACCACATGTCGGCCATTGCCGGCGGGGCCTTGGCCCAGGGATTCCCCTTCGGCTCGGCGGCAGCGGCGGCCGCAGCGGCTGCCTACGGACAGCAGGTGGCCGGATACTGGTACCCGCCGGCACCCACATATCCGGCGGCAGCCCCCGCCAGCGCCCTTCAGCCGGGCCAGTTCCTGCAGGGCATGCAGGGATTCACCTACGGTCAATTCGCCGGCTACCAGCAGGCGGGATACATGGGGTAAGTGCGACCATGCAAGCTATACAGAGTTATAATATCACAAAAAGAGTTCAAACTCATTGCGACCTTAATAAGTTAAAGAAAAAAACCTTATTTGGATGCCAAAGAGAAAACTATAGCAATACGTTTCTTAATTTTTATAAACAAGATATTTGAAATATTTACAATATGATGCCATAAGATAAACTTTACTATATTTGAATATTTATACACATTGATTAAAATTATAAGTCTTATGATTGATTATTTATATAAAATTGATTTTGTATCATAATAGTATGTCTGGGTTAACTAGATTTTGAAAAATAGTCCCCATCATTGCAATATATAATAATTATAAAAATATGAAAATGTCCCAAGACACATTTTTATAAAATTTCATTCTTTGTGATATAAATATAGTATAAACTATAAATAGCGGATAATATATTCGTAAAGATAAAGTTTATTTGGTTTATAATCGAACAGACATTTTTTGATATTTATACTCTGTGCGTAAGGGACTTGTCCAAGGACGAAGTATTTATTGTTTCCCTTTTTTCCACCCATTTAGAATGGGCGTCCAGCTGCCGGGCACCTGGCAGAGTGTACCGCCGCAGCCCCAGTTGGCCAGTGCAGCGGCGGCCACCGCTCCTCAGATCACACAGAGTGTGGGCAGCGCATTGCCCCAGGCGGCCGGAGTGGTGGCCTATCCGATGCAGCAGTTCCAGGTCAGTCCGCAGGTGAGTCTTCGATTTGAGGATTTCTGTATTTTATGGCGGTGCCTAACGATTGTGAATCGCTTAGCTGGCGGAGGACGAGTGGCTGGCGCCCAGTTTGCTCGTGTAGCTGCCATGAGGGATGGCCATGTATCCCACACAGCAGCAGCAGCAACAGCAGCAGTTGCAGCAGCAACATGAGCAGCAGACGTCCGGGGAATATGTGAAGGAGCCACCCTACCACACGCAACAGCAGCAGCAGCTGCACCACCAACTGCAGCAGCAAGCCCACAGCCAGCACCACCAGCAGCAACACTACATACCCCAACTGGTCTATCCCTCGCACTGGGTGCAACAGCAACAGCAGCAGCAGCAACAGCAGCAGGTAGCGAACAACGAGCAACAGCCACAGCAGCAACAGCAACAGACGCCCGTGGCCCAGGTTTATGGCATGCCCGAAGTGTAAGAAGATGCAGCAGTATTGGCTGGAATCGAACGTAAACAAAATCTAACCCTAGATTAAGTATTCGAAATGGGGGAAATGCAAGTGCAACAGCAACAACCACACAGGCCAGAAAGTGCAATAGTCATAATCCAAGTTGATCTAATCAATCGAAAACCGAAATGGTTTACCCAAAAACCAAAGTTATGTATGTGTGTTATTTGTGTCTATTTTTGAGAGGCTTTCCTACGTTTCGGGAAAGTCACTTCAGTAAGAAAAACAAAAGATTATAAGGACAGAAAAAAAAAAAAAAAAGCTCTGAATGTATTTTAGTAGGTATAAACATATACACGAGTATGTAGGTATGTATATACCAGAGTAAGAATAGAGTGGGTGCTATTAAGAAAGTGGCTATGATTTCAAAGGGCTTACGTTTCATATAGCAACAGAAAGCGTAACAAAACAGAAACTAATATTTAAGCGTAGATTAAGAAAACAAAGGCAAAGGTTTAGTGGAAAATGTTTCGTTGACTGAAAATTCATTTGGAAAAATTGTCCCATCTTCGATGCAGTTCATAAAACCGATAATTTTCCAATAGATTCTATTACAATGATCATTTCACCGATATGTCGATGTGTATAGGCCTAAGAATTAGCAAGTAGTCAAGGGCACGTCAAATGGTCCACATAAGCTTCTATCAGTTGATTCACGATTATGAGTGTTTATCCAGCATTATCTAGAGAAATATCAACGCAAATGTACTAACTGAGTTAAGCACCGACAACTAAACCAAGCCCAAAAAAAAAGAATAAGACACACACACAGAAATCAAGTAGATAATTGCACTGAAAACAGAACGGATAGATCGAGCCATTGCTACATAAAACTATATATCCTAAACGATATCCATAGAAGAGGCTACTACACACACACACACAGGCGCACGCATAAGCATGCACGCACACATACACACATAAGGAACCTTATTCATGTATCTGTGTTTTTGTGTAACGTGTAAATGTATTAAGGGAAACCTATAAGAAAGTAAGGAAATAGCGAAATATTTAGAAAAGGATATGAAAGGAAAACGTGTAGCAAAAGCAAAATACAAAATGTAGTCAATGTTTAGCTAAGAATCGTAAGAGTAACTGTAACACTATACACTAAAATGTAAGCCTAAACACAATTATTTATGGTATTTACAAAGATGAAAAAATGGCTAGGAAAAGCAAAACGAAATCGACTACAAATTGTAAACTATTTTTTACATACCAAAGAAAACCAAAATCAACAAAAAGTAATTTGAAATGGAATAACGAAGGAATCAAAATTAGAAAACTTTCAATTGGGTAATCGAAGTAGAGCCAAAAAGCGAGTCTAATTTCTATAAGTTGTGATGAGAGCAAATCGATGTTACGGACAAAGGAAACTGATTTATTTTTTCAACTTGGCAAAGCGTGTTTTTTGAGAGCCAACGACAAACTGTGCATCGGCGAATGCATCACTTTACATATATACAAATCTATATATATACACCTATATATATACATACATATATATATACTAAATGTTATTTGAGCAGACAAGAAAACTGTGTGTCAGAGCAAGCTATGCGTAAATATAAAAATATAAATAATTAAAAACTATATGAAGAAACCAATGAAAATTAAATAAAATTGTAGCTGAACATATGTTGGAAATGTTGAAAAATTATGGTAAAACTACGAAATAAATATAATGAAATGAAAGGAAAGGAAAAAAATTAGAAATACTCTACGACATATACATAATAGCATAATTATATTTAATTATGTAAACATAGTTACGGTGTAAGCAAAAGGAATATAAATAAATGATTCAATGTTGTGTATGTACATATAAATATATTTGAAAAAAAAAGATATATATAAAAACCCATATATTTAAAAACAAGAAATATGTGCGCATAACAAAGGCAAACTAACTAAAAAGAAAATTGTATTAATATTTGCATATAAATGTAAAAAAAATGCCGAGTGCAAACAAAGCTGCAGGAGAGCATCTGTTTTTGCAAAGGCCCAGCGCAGACATATGATAGATCATAAAATAGCGCCATCAGACCCAACCAACCAACCCAACTACACGGCTATATAATTGCATTTGTGACAGCAGCATAAAAAATCGAAAAAAAAAATAAAAACAGAAAAACAACAGCATAAAAACAAAAGAGTATTATAAAAAGTGTGCGAGCAAAATGCCATAATTATGTTAAGCGCCTATCAAAAGCCTATCCAATTCAATCAAAACCAAACGAAGCCCCCGGAACAAACCTACAAACACACACACACACACACACCGGCCCACACCCACACAAGCACACTTGAGTGTGTGGCTGCAAACACGTTAATATATGCATAGAAAATGGCGCTGCCAGCGATTGCAGCCGAGCAAGAGAGAAATAATCAAATAAAATGGAAAAATGTTAATCAAAAAACAGAAAAACAAAATTAAAAAACAAATGATTTGACGTCTTTTAATTCTGCTGGGGGAGGAGCTGCCAAGATTGAAAACAGCTTTTGGAATCCATTAAGACGGTAAGGGGGACTGATTTTACTGGATCATTCGGATTTTAGTTGTAAATACCCAATTGCTTACAGTGTAGGTATCATTTTTTAGACAGTTTAATTTTTGAAATAAATGATTTTAAGTCAGTTTTACTTGCCGAGAGACTTAAGCTCTTTAATTAATTTTAAGCAATTAAGAATCAATCTGAATTCCAGTTAAATTAATTATTTCGTTAGGTGGAATCTTAATAATAGTCAGATATTTTTTTGGACTATAAATATTTTATAAAAAAAACCGATTCATTGCCAGTTATCAAGAATCTAGACCGAAATCGATGGATTTACCGGACTTTAAATTATTGGTAATTTCCACCCTGGATTCCGTGGAATTATTTCAGACCGATAAACTGCAAATGAATTTGCAATGCTAATTGGGAATAAGAGAAAAGCTGCTCCAAAGTCACCCACCCACAATCGATCCCCCGGAACATTTCAGAGCTACCATTTTATTTTTCAGTACCCCTGACACTGCAATCGTCGCATGCCAGTCACGTAAAATCAAAATTTTCCCCCACATGAGAGTGCACAAGTAAAAAAAAGGAACAGCAAGAGGGAAACACTGGCAATGCGGCTCATTGCACAACGGGAACTGTACAATTTCAATATTTTACTGCATTTTGCACTTTGGCCGTGTCTCTGGGCCTCTGTTATCCTGCCCGCTGGCCTGTCCTGATGTCCTGCTGCCATGGCCATGTCCTGTTTAATATGCGCGCCCAAAATGGCACAGCGGCGAAATATAAATAAAACAAATAGGCTACCCCCCCATCCATAAAGTGCACATGTTACTCATACGCCCCGTTGGCCGTACAAAACGCAGCGCATTGAGCTCGCAATTGGGTGCACCGTAAAAGAGTCGTGGAGGAGGGGGAGGGGGAGCTGGTGTCCAAAGTTTCGGGGCTCTTGAGTTAGGAGGCACTGTGCATCTTAACAAACACTTGACTCACTTTACAGCAGTTTTAGTGGATAATTCTTTATACTGCCCTGCCATGCAAAATATTCCGCAATAAAAACTAAGCGCATAAAATTTCACTGCATCATGTAGTTGTGCTGGGTTTTGTTTCCTTTTTTTTTTTTCCTTGTGCAGTGCATTAAGAACGGCAAAAGGACAACTGCAGAAGTGCACCTAAGCTGCCAAATATAAAAACTCCGAGTTTGCATGAAGATTTGCCGGGGCTTATTACGGTGCGAGGATCCTGCAGCCAGCCAGGACCTTAACGATGCCTGAAGGCTGGCTGGCTCCGACTGGGCTTCCTTTGTCTTTGCTCCCATTCCCCAAATCGCAATTCACCTTCCACCTTTTTATGCTCTTTTAATAGCACTTGTTTAGCAAGCAAACAACGCTGGCAACTTAAAAAACTCGCTTCTGCCCCCATCCACACACACACTAGCTTAAAATTTTTATAGCAAAAGTTTGAGTGTTTGTCTGTTTTATTAACCGTGCCTGGCTGCCTGGCTGCATGACTGCCTGACTCGACTCCTTGGCGCTGCCAAAGTCAAAAGCCCAAGTTTTCGTCGTGTCTTATTCATAACACACACACACACTCACTCACATGGGGAAGCTGCACTCATGCTGCACCACCACCACCACAAAAGCTCTGAGCCAACATTTTTATGTGTGTGAGCCATCTTCGGCGTCGGCTGCTGCATTAATTGATTGCTCTCTGTCCCTCTCGGCCTGTCGTAAATAAGCACAGGAAAAAACAGCGATCTCCAAGGATCTGATTTTATGAACGATACTTTTTTTTATATTTTGTATAGACCTTTTTAAATGGGAGTTCTAAGTTAGATCCAGTGATATCCTTTATATTTCTCGATAATTTTAAAGAAAAGTCTGCAGTATATGTAGACTTTATTTCTTAATTTAAAAGAGATGAGAATTGTTTAAGAAGTTCTTAGATGAGTACCTTATTAACACCAGTTACATTACGGTTTACTTTATAACCTTGATGTTGAGGCTGTGAGCAAAAGAATGGGACTTCTATTAATTTTCAGGCTATGATTAAAATAAACATATTTTTTTCTGTGTGATATTTAGCCGCCATCAAGCTGCAACATCGCACCACCAGAGCTGCACCACCATTACCAACACACCGCAACGACAAACAACAATCTCGTTTTCGGAAAGCAAACGCTAATGACAAAATGCTAAAATTTGCCCACCACTTGCTAAGGGGGAGAGGGGGCGGCAAGAAAAGAGGGCGT